CAACAGCAATTTCTTTTGCTCTCATTTCTAAATACCTCTTCAGTTCAGATGTCAAAATGCCAAGCTTTGATTTAGGAAACTGCACCTTCTCCTAAAGATCTTACTCCATTAATGTCTCAAGGATTGCTCAGAACCAGGAGGAGAACCAACTTTTCAAAACTAAAGAAAAAGGATAAAGAAAAGAAGATTGCATTCAAAATAGATGAGGCAATGTACAATAACAACATCCTTATCAATAAAGTATGGTGACTTTTTTTGCTCCCAAATGATATATTTATGTAAAAGACTCTCCGTTAATTTAGGGTAGAATTATTTATATTGTATTTTATTTTTCTAATATACTATTTTCCAGATCCTTCGGTGGCCACTAGTTAAATGATACAATATCAGAAAGGGAAGAACCATGATTCTCGTGCATATATAAATTGAACCTCTGTCCAAGATTTCATCTACCTCATTAATTAATGAGGGTATCAGGAAAATGTTATGACCAATTCAAAGGAGATTTCAAAGAACCATACATATTTAGGCAAATAAGATGCAGGAATGGATCTACAAGTAGATGTAAAATAGGTCTGTCCACAGGACAGCACTCAACTGCATTCCATTAGCCACAATTAATCTGCATTTCTGTGGGCAAGAATCATTTGCATTATCCATTTTCTGTCATTTGTAGAGTGGTAAAATAGCCCCCAGTCAATGAGAGACTGCAATAACTAGGAAGGATGCACTGGACAGGGTGCCCACTAGCCTCTTGGGTCACTGTTACACCTTTTATGATTTTTGCCTATACTATTCAGTTCATTCCACCTTCTCTCCTCACCCTGAAATTGTATCACCACTCTCAGGTACAAGCATACACCAAAAGAAAGACGGCAAAGAAATCCACAAAGCCTATCAGACATCTCACTGAAATTTAGTAAGATCGAAAACAAAACCAAAATTAAGTATTTCTCATGTGATTTCCTGCAAGTTTTAGTTTGCATTTTGAAACTAGAGAATGAGGTGAGGCTGGTAGAAGCATTACGATAACACTCCTATAAAGCTATTCTTATTTTGAAGAATCCCAGTGATTTTTTTAAACAAACATGTATATGAGAGAGGAGAGGAAACTAAGAAGAGAAAAGATAAAGTTAAAAATCCTAGGGGTGGTTGGCTGGCTTACTTGGTAGAGCACGCAACTCTTCATCTTGAGGTTGTGAGTTCAAGCCCTATGTTGGGTGTGGAGCCTACTTAAAAGAAAACAAAAAACAACTTAGTTAAAAGACCACGTGTGCATAAAACTGGAGCTGAACGCTGGCTATGATCTGCAGTGACACGAGATTAATTAACCAAGAATGGATGGTTTCTGTTTAGCACTACATTAATAAAGTGATAGTTTTTATTATTTTGGTCCATGCTCTGACTTCATAATAACCACATATAAACTAAACCACATTGGGATTTTACAAGTGAATTTGATTATCACTGTTTTCTGTTTCATAAAAGGGACTATGATAATAACTCCAATTAAAGGGTAAGCCTTTTGTTAATGAAACATGAACGATTAAGCTTGCAAATTGAAGACCAGACAGAAGCATAAATCATCTATTTGCCAGGTTTCTTTTTTAATTTCCTGGAGATGGGAAAACTAAATGCAGAAATGCTATCGATCTCTGAAGTTAGAGCCTATCTCGGCAAGAGCTCACGTATCCAGCGATTGTGCATTCATCCCACAACAGTGCTGCTAACAAAAAGAACTTTAAAAGTACCCAAATTAAACTTCAATAACAAGAGCTTTTTTCATGAAACACTTGTACATCAAAATGACTTTGTTTTTTAAAAAAAACCTACTGACTCCATCTTAAAGGTCCTACTTTAAGGATTCCAGCTCAGCAAGTACTAATCAAACCAAGTCTCCTAAACCTTCCACTGAGACCTCCTGGCTCAGTCGCCTGCCCTCTAACCGACCTTGCTTCTTCCCACTTGTGGCCAGTAAGCTCAAGATAGTAAACACAATGTTGGGAGATCTAGGGATGTGGGGGAAAGTTTTGCATGAAACACAGTTATTATTCACTTGGCCATTTGCTCTATTAGATATTTTTCTTTTGAAATATGATCTCCTGCCTTCAACAAGAGAGAATTTATTATATCATACAGTGTATGCACTAGAGAAATTAAGATGCCTGCCAAAAGACAGCACTGCTTAAAAGCCAAATCATTTTTAATTGGTGTGAACTTGATGAAGACCTAAGGATAGTGGGTTGAAAGATAAGCCAGAAAGGCTATTTGACATTTGATAAGACTCTCACTTGGGAGACATAAAATAGATGTTTATTGTTTTTGCTATTAACCCTAAAGGTCCAGATAATAAAAAACAGACAAATGCATGTGTGTATGCCCCACACACGCACACATTTATTTTCATTTAGATGCTGCTTCAAAGTAAGGTTCAAGCATTGCAATGGGTTCATGAGGCTCCAGAAATGTGCCCTTTCTACTTTGTGTGCTTTTGGTATATTATCTTCCTGGTCCTGGAATGAGACCAAATGCAAAGTGATTGACATGATAGGCAAGGAGAGCAGAGGGTTTGGTTTGTAGATCATTTAGATTCTAGATTTCATTTGAACTCACTTTGGAAGATAAAACATAAATCAATTTAACTGCTTTTCATTCTTAGAAACTTATATATGTGGAAAAGATAGAAACCAAGACTTAAGTTTAAAGATCATTTATGAATCTTAGTGTGCTTGGTATCTCCACTAAGTCCTAGAGCAGGACTTGGGAAACTACAGCCCACAGGCTGAATTCATACCTTTCTCCTACCAACCTCCCTCCAGGTTTTTTTATTAAAACAAACAAACAAACAAAAACCAGGTTCGGAGACTAGGTTTGCATGCCTCCTCCCTCCTTTTTTTTTAATAAATAAAGTTTTATTGGAACACAACCACACCCATTTGCATACATATTGCCTATGACTGCATTCACAGCATGTTGGCAAGAGTCGTTGCAGCAACAAAGACCCAGAAACAAGACCCACAAAATCAAAAATATTTTCTATCTGGCCTTTTACAGAAAAAGCTAGCTGATCCTCATTGACTCATAATGGTCTCTGAAGATAGCTATTAGGGGGTGACAGAAATTTTCCCAGTGTAGGTAAAGCTAATAGGGTGCAGTGCTTTTTGAGATCTTGTCACTTTTTTATTTGAAAATAAAATTCATTCCTACATTACTAAATAAGAAACATTATTCACACACTATCGTCAAGGTTGGCTGACTTTTCCTTTGCTTTTGGGTTTTTCTTACACACAAAATAGTTTAATATGCATTTTCCTTTATGTCTACACCTGGATTGTAGCATTCAGTGTTTGTGTATTTTTCACTGTTCTTCTTCCAGGAGCCAGACAAACAGGTATATGTGAATGTGTAATAAGAGGGTTAAAATTATTTTGATGGCAGAGTTGACTTTTATATTTATAAAAAGCTCCTACAGGTGGCATTATTTAAAGAGAGGGAGACTTTTTAGTTTTTTAGGATACTATTTTCCCCCCAAGTTCTCTGGGTGCCAGAAGATAGATCAAGAATTCAAAAACAAGAGAGGGAGGTAACATTGTAATGAGAATGTCTTGAGAATAATTCTGGATGGCTCTTCCTCCCTCATCCACCTTCCTGACAAGGTTGTATGTGACCTTCATTCTCTCCTAGGGGATGGCTCTTCCAGGCCTTCGACACCGTGAGCTGTTGGGGGTTGGAGGAGTCTGGCTCTCTTGGCCAGCTCCACGCACAGCCCAGGCTCAGGCAACATCTTTGTTATGATCCTTCCAATTTGAAAACTTGGATTGGGTTTCCTGCTAGAATTTTTATTTCCCTGAACTAGATATGAACCATTTGCACTTGCTAGGATTTAATGCCATAATCTTATCAGTTCTTTTGTTTTCTGCCAAAGTCAAGGTTAGGAGACCAGGTTTGCATGCCTCCTCAGCACGAGTCTCTGTGAGAAAGCAGTAGGATCATGGAAAAATAAAAACGTTTTATTCCAAAGTTCTTTTTCCAAATTATTATACTAACTTTTTGAAAATCTTAGTGGTTCCCTCTTGGGCTTTTCTCCCTAGGTCTCTCTCAAGGTCATTGAAGTCAAAGCCATTGTAGATTAGTGGGAGAGAAAGTCTTTTTTTGGAATTTGGATATTGACCTGTATTATAGAGAAACTCAGAGGAAAACCAAATTCTCACTAGTGTGGCTCCTCTGAGGGGCTGGGGGAGAGGAAGCTGTTGGACAAACTTGAATTGAATGCAGAATTTTTTGTTTACTGTGACACGTCTGTGGATTTAAATTTGTAGCACAGCTTTTCTCTACGATATAAAAAGTATTGTAGTCCAGACTAATTCAAAGAATGTGTGAGGAACAAGACTCTGCTCCATTCTTGGAAACTTACAAAAAAAGAACCTCTTTCTATATATAAACAAATCTTGGGAAGCACATTGAACAGAAAAGCAAAAGAAAGTTACAGAATATGAGATCCAGACCAAAAAAAATTTTTTTTTAAAAAAAACCTTCCTTAAATATCTCCAAGGGCTTATTTTGTGATAGTTTTTAGGATCAGTATTAGTCTGCTGTAAGAATAGCCAGCATCTTGTGGAAGGCACAAGTGCTGGGATTTAGAGAGAGAGAGAGAGAGAAAGAGAGAGAGAGAGAAGAGAGAGAGAGAGAAGAAACCACCGATTTCCTGCTTTGAAGAGCTACCACTGTGGGTGCAAAGCAGGGAGAGAGCAGGTGGTCTGTGGTTGGAATGTCTTACAGCTGGGAGTTCATATGACCCAAAAAAACCAATCCAGAAACTGTGGCAAACGAGCTCATGAACTAAACAGAAGCACCCATCGCGGGACAGGGTGTCAGAGCCCTGAGCACATCCCAGGACAGCGCTGGGCAGTGGCGACAGGTGGGATGCAGCCCCCCACAGCCCCCACGGTCTCCTGCCTGGGGCTTCTCATCCTGTCCTCTTGCTTGCTTGCTGACTGCAGGTTCATCCCAGAAGCCTGGTCGGCCTGTACGGTTACCTGTGGTGTGGGGACCCAGGTGCGAATGGTGAGGTGCCAGGTGCTCCTGCCTTTCTCCCAGTCCGTGGCTGACCTGCCTGTTGATGAATGTGAAGGGCCCAAGCCAGCCTCCCAGCGTGCCTGTTACGCAGGACCATGCCATGGGGAAGTTCCTGAGCTGACCCCAGAAGAGACAGATGGCCTCTTCGGTGGCCTACAGGACTTCGACGAGCTGTATGACTGGGAATATGAGGGCTTCACCAAGTGCTCCGAGTCGTGTGGAGGAGGTAAGAAGGGGACTCTGGCCCAGATCCCCACCATCTTCTTGTCCTTTTTCTATAACCTCTCCCTGCAGGAGACTGTGTCACGTGACTGCCTCTAGCCCAGGAATGATAAGCAGGGAGCGGAGCGGAGGGGAGGAAGCCCTTCTAAATGTAAAGCACACGGAATGAAACCCAGATGTACTTCCCTTTGGGCTTGCGTGGCGCTCAGGCTGTCAGCAGTGAGTGGCCAACACAACTCATGCTTTTACTTTCACTTGTCATTCTGATGTTTTGCAATGTATCCTGGTGCATCTGACTGAGAAACCCAGTTGACACTGACCTGGCAGTGCTCTCGACATTCAGTTTTATTTATCTCCTTGCTTCAGTGCATGTGGTATGGACCAAGGCCCAAGATGACAAAACATTCTGCTCTTCCCCAGAATAGGTTAGAGTCCCTCTGATTTACTCAGCTGATTTCCCAAAGCAATATCCCTTTACAAAGCAAAAAAGGGTCCAGGAAGGGCACTTAATACTGTAGGTCACCTGGAACCGGACAGGACTTTAAAGTCTGACCCCACCACCATTTCACAGATGAGAAAACGAAGATCTAAAGAAGCTGAGTGACTTGAAATCACACAGCTAGTGAGGGGCAGCTGGGATTAGGCCTGCTATTGATCTGTTTGCCTGTCTAGAGTCTTTCCAGCGCATGACACTTCTTTAAACACTTAGAGAATTCCTGAGGCTTTCCCCTCACGAATATCATTTAACTAATGATAAATGTGTCCATGTACATTATCTTTAGGGTTCTTCAGGGATATTCCACGGTGATCACAATAGACTCAGTGATTCTTTATTTCAGGTGTTATAAAGGGGTCGTACGGGAAGAGGAAGGCATCTAAGTCAACAATAAATTCTTTAAGATTATGATCCTTCTTACACTCTAAAAAAATACATCAGGTTCATAATGCCACTGCCTCCCACATCCACTCCCAAGAGAGATTTTGATAGGTGAGGAAATGCTGGCTAATTTCCTGCCAGACCCCTCTCACTGATTATCAGTAACCCCTTTTGCTACATTAAGGTTCTGCATTGCCAGCAAAGTTTCTCAACTGTTATTTTTTAAAAAGTATATTAAAATTACTTTCCAAAACTGTTTTTTGAACCATGACATTTTGGAAACTTTTAAAAAGGCGTCTTTGGTCATTACAGAGAATGTGCAAGTACATGTGCCCCAAATGTTCACAAGCACTTAAAAAGGGATGAATAGTGAAACAAGCACATACTAGCAAAGAATCCCTTTTCTCCATCGGATCTTGTAGCAAGCATGTAATGGTTTTGACCTTGAGGTTCTTGTTTGTTTCTAAGTCTTCCAGTTTCAAACCATGAAATTCTTAAGTGTTTTAATGGAGGGCCCTGTTATTTTTAAAACCTAAATCTTTCCATCTGATTCTGGAAGAGTTTCCTGGAACTCAGCTAATCTCTGTTCTTGAGGGGTTCTCCAGGCCCACTGAGGACATCTTTTCTTCCATGCTTATGAAGGGAGACTGTTAAATAAGCTTTGATGATCTCTGAGCCTGGGCAGGAGCTGAGAAGTTAGGTAGGAGGACCACAGCCGATTGCCACAGTGGCTTCTTTCCAATATAATGAGGAACTCAAGAGTTCAGATGGTGTGTGTTTATCCCCAATTTCCACAATCACCTGAATGGAATGATCATTATCTCTAGTCTGAAATGAATGTGCTTTGGAAAAAAAATTGACTTGTGGTCTCTCAGTTATGGTTCTCAGTTACAAGTCAAGCCTGGAACTCTATGAGCAGATGGAAAAACTAGACACAGTCGTGGAATAATAAATAACCAGATACCTTTATCTTTGAGATTCTAAACACTCTGCTGATCAACCAGAGGTATAAAACTCAAAGCGTAGAGAGCATGTGGAATGTTTTTCATTTCAAATGTTTTCAGAAGATAACTAATTTGGAAATAAGATTTGGACATTTGATATACAATTGATCTCTGCCTGTAGGAACTGAGCATCTTTGTACAACATAAATTGTACATCCTTTATATCCAAGGCAGGGTAAAGTTACTGAAATGTCTTATGGCTTTAACTGTCGACAACTGTGCACACTTACCTACACTTATGTAACTGTGCCAAGGTAATATATTTACACCTAAAATGTTAGAGTTGAAAATTCCAAAGTGGTGAAAATATGCTTGGGTTATATGGTCCATATGATGCCCATATGCACTAAAAAAATCATTTCACTGTATGGGACATGTATATTTTGAAGTCAGTGTTTGGCAGTAACATTGTATTACCAACTTTGATCTTTCACCAAAATACAACCCACAAGGTTATATATATTTTTAATCATTCTTGCTGAAACCAATCAAAAACATGCAGGATTAACAGATAGACTTTAAATCAATTTTGGATTGTAAGCCTGGTCGAGCTAATTTCATTGTCTTCTCTATCTCAAGAGCAGAAACTGGATAGACACAGAAGTAACCTTTCACCTAGCAGAGGTAGCAACCAGAAGGAACTAGTTAGTAATTTAGGCTATAGTTGGTGGCTGTGTTTCCCCAAGCTGTCATCAAATATCATGTAACAATTATGCTATTCTGGCAGATATAAACACTGAAAATCCCTTTTTCTGGAAGATTGAGCCTAACCTGCTCAGATATGTGCCCTGAATCCCACTATCATCTCCCTGTTATATTTTAATTTCCCCGTATGTGAGCAGCTAATAGGTGTGGTCGAGGAGAGTGGCTTTGAACCTGAACAGCTTTACTATATTGAACTCCTAGATGGTAAAATCAACATTAAAATAGAGCTGAAGGAAAACTTGAAATTTATTTCAGCAAGAATGAAAGGTGAAGTCTAGAACCTGCCGCTCCCCTGCCTTTGCTTCTGTCAAGAAAGGAAAACGCAAAATTGTGAAGTACTATACTTAAACATGTGTTCCGTGTTGGTTTAAGATGTCCTCTAAGTGCATATACTAGCCTGTTTGGAAATAGCACGCACTTGATGAGCTAACTTCTCACATCCTGGCCCCACACTGCTGGGCCAAGTATGCTGTGACCTCACAGGTGAGGTCTTCACATGCCCTCCCTCCTGCAACTTCCCACACTCCCATTACAGGGCAGCTCCCTCCCTCTATGTTCCTTACCCCAGGCATGCCTCTACTACCTTCTCTGGCTTAAACAGCACTATGCTTAGAATGCCCTGCCCTTAAGGCATTTTGTTCATCATACCACAAAAATGTATTGTGTGTTGACCACAGGGCTGGTCCCAGATACTCCTTAATTATGACAGAGCTCTGTCCTTACTTTCCCTCAGCACCCCAGGCCCCTCCTAAAAATGCCTAGGCAACTGGCCCCTATGGCAATGGCCATTTAACATGGTGTCAGAGGCCTAGTATTTTGTTTTATAATGTTAGATTCAGATTTAGTGACTCTGGAATGCTCATTAATCTTGGTACTTACCCACCTCGAAGGTGATTTTTATCTTAGGCGAGGATTTATTGGCTTGGGGTAATATAAATTGGTATTCCACATATCTAAGAGAGGACTATACTGATATCCTTTTAGAAATGCAAGCCCTTGCAACACTTGTCCTTTGCAGTCTTAGAAGAACATAAGTTCTACAAACTAGGAAGTCACAAACTAGAAACAGAATACATCCCCTACACATCCCCACACCTGAAGCATTTTCAAGTAGGACAGGTGACAAGGCCTATGATCACTCCCTGCTGACATCATTGACTCAGTTTCATAAAATGTTCAGTAGCTGGAAAAGAAAAAAAAAAATATATATATATATATACTTTATTTTAGAGCAACATTTACAATCTCTTGAATATTACCAGGTGGGCAAATGAACTAAAAACCTAATTTCTAATATAACCACAGCTCTAGGTTTTGTATGGAAGAGTTAGTTTCATCCAGCACCTTGTCGTCATTACCTTAACAATGCCAGACTATTCCAGAGGGAAGTATCAGTGATGATTTCAACAATTTCTTGTGAAATGTTTTGCTATATCATCATACCATAAATTTCAAATGGCTCATCCCAGCTGCAACCAAGAGAGCAACACCCTCTCACCAGCATTACAGAATATGATGGGACAGCCTAAATGTCTAGTATAAATCGCAAATGCTCCACCCTGAACTGGCCAGGATAGATTTAAATTACATTTCAAAGCTCATACAAAGGTTGGAAAAAAGAAAATTTACCTCATGGCCTCAAGGTAAATACTGTGACTGATTTTTTAAAATGTTTGATTCATCAGACTTCTGGGAAGAAATAAAGGTGATTCAGATTCTGGCTCTAAAATGTCACTTTTTAAATGGTGGTCTTGCTGAATGACCTCAGTCAGTCTCCTATCGCCTTAGGAAGCATTAGACCATTGACTGGAGTCATAATTCCTTGAAGAAATGTGGAGAAGATGGGAAGTGTGAAGCAGCAAGGCTAGTGAGTGTGAGGCAATGGTACTGTATTAGGTACTAATTGATAAAGCAAGACAGAAATAAGAACAAGAAAATGTAAATTTATATATAAAACTATGTGAGTTGTGACATACTTTGCCAAAACCATATACAAATATTTAACTACAGATAGATATATTTAGTTTCACATATCTTTATATACACAGCTATGTATGACTGAAAGCAGAATATTAAGAACATGTTGTCTTGCCTCTTCTTTTTTTTTTTTTTTTTTTTTTTTTTTTTTTATCTTGCCTCTTCCTTACACTGACTCTGCTGAAATTATCCCAGATAAATGTCTAGGAACTGCCTACCATTGATCAACTACATAACCTTAGCAAGTCTTCCCAGCTTTCTAAGCCTCAGTTTCCTTATCTGTAAAATGGTATAAAAATAAAAATAGTCCTTACCTCATGGAGTTGTGGAGAGAATTGCATGGTGCATGTCATGCTCTTAGCATTGACACCTGGCTCATGATGTACAACTCATAGATTTCAACTCTCATTTTGACTGTGGGCACCAGAATGAAATTTCTGGTCATTACTGTACCCAGCTAAATGTTCCCTTGCTCCATGAAGATTTCCATAAGGGGTCCTGCACACCATCTTGAAAGACTAGCCAGTAACTCTGTGCCCATCACTGCTCAAACTCCTGTTTTCTTAGCTCCGTGTCAGAGACATGCCAGTGTCATTGGGAACATTGTTTCCCATAGATGTAGAAAAGATTGCATTTCATGGGTTTAGTCATTGTGCACCTTGTTCTCTTTCTCTGTCCCAACTTCCAAAGCTGTCCAGGTCACTAAAGAAATGAACTAGAATCAAAAGGAAACCAGCAAAGATTGGAGTCCCCAGTGTGAGGCCCCAGGAGAACAGCAGTTTACAGAATATTAGATATTAAAACGTAGCTCTTCGCCTCCCTTCCAAATACAGCAATAGCCTGTTGATTAAAATATTACATGTGAAGGTCTTAGGGACATTTTTTCTTGTCATTCTGCTCTCCTGCATTAAATTATCACATTTCAACTTAGGCAGCTCTATAACTTTGGTGGCATTTTTTGAAGCTTTTCATCAGTACTGGTGCAAGCTTTCCCATTAAGGAGGTTGCCCTCCTCAAGAGACATGTTTATAGAGGCACAAGCTCATGAGTCCTTACTCTCTGATGGAGCGATACTTGACAAGATGGGCAGCCCTGGGCTTTAAGCTGCAATCTCTGACATGCAGCCAGAGTCCTACCAATTACAGAGGCCTCCCACCAGCTGCCTTGTCTACACTTCATCACTGCACACACGCCCACTCTGGCCTGACAGTGTGATTTGTACGCAGGTGTCCAGGAGGCTGTGGTGAGCTGCCTGAACAAACAGACACGGGAGCCTGCTGATGAGAACCTGTGTGTGACCAACCGCCGGCCCCCACGGCTCCTCAAATCCTGCAGTTTGGATCCCTGCCCCGCCAGGTAAGGGGCACAGTGCCTGCCCTGCTACCCAGGAGCATGTTCAGAGCAGGGTGCATCTGTCCGTGGGCAAGACCAGAATGCTTATTGTTCAAAACCCAGTGTTTTGAAAACCAATTAGCATCAGTTAAAACTTTTAGTCAAATCCACTTAAATTTAATTGAAACCAGGACTTTGGAATTCCAGCCCAGTGGTCATGCTCAGAGTCCAGAAGACTCTATGCACTGGAATGAGCCCCATGGCATGACGGGAATGTGCTCGTGCTGCACTGCCGTTGTCTCCTGAAGGGAACTTGAAGCAACCACAGACTTCAGGATCTCTGCCATTTTTAGCCTGGGTCCCAAACCCTCACACCATAGTAATGGATTACAGAGTATAAGAAACTGAAGTGACTGGGTGGTATAATTGATCCACTGTGAAATCTGTATGCACACAGCATGCAGATTCATTATAGCATGCTCTGGAGTATATGTGTGTCATTCCACATGCATAAAATCAATTGAAGCATTTCATTGTTTGGTCCTGCCTGGGTCTCATTTTTACCCAACCTTGAGTCTTAATCAATCCAATCACTGGTTTAGTCCACACAATTTTATGGTGTCTTGAGAGTTGCCTGCAGATACTTCTTTGGAACAAATCTCTGTGGAAGCTAAACCATTTTATCAATGACTCTTGTTTCAAAGAGAGATGTTTAAAGAACCAAAGCCAGATTTTCAGGTCTGCTGATGGGATGAAGAATGTTCTAAGATAAGGTCATATCCTAGCTATAAAGAGGAATGCTTTTTCAGAACAATATTTCTTCTGTTCCTACAAAGTAACATGGAAGAAGCACTGTGTTGCCTTCAGGAATCGACAATAATTTGCGGATACAGCTTGACTTATTTCTCGGCAAAATGCCTTCCTTTGGAACTTAAAGGGTCCAGACTATAGGTCATATCAGGGCACAAGCTTATAGTGACACTTCTTCTGGTCACAGAGATGTCTCATATAATGATCTAAATGGGGGACCTGGCAATCCCTTTTCCAACACAAAAGTGAGGAGGGCCACTGGTGCCATCTTCTCCACAGCAACCAGAAAAGCAGTCAGCCATTGCTTGGAGCAGCACCCCACCCATAAGAAGAGCAGTCAATAAAATAGATTCAAGGGCTAGACCCAGAAAGAGCTAGATTCAGTGCATTAAATCCTGAAAGACCTCTTTCCTCTCCCTGTTAGACCTAGTCACACATCTCCAACCTAACCTCACAGTTCTCCAGTTGGGCAAACCTAACTGCACAGGCAAGGGATACTAACCCTTTCTATTTGACTACATTCTTTCCAAATTGGAAAACGCAGAGTAGTTTTGGCATGGACAGCCTGTAAGGGCCTTGGCTAGGAAGTCCAGAGGTTCTCATCTTAGCTTTGTCACCCACGAGCTGTGTGGCATTGGGAAAATGTCTGCCCTTTTTGTTTCCACATCTACAAAACCAACAGGCTGTATCTGAGGTCACTACATCCTGCTTAAATATCCCGTGACTCTTTGTTAGTCTATAGGCAGACGCACTGGACAGCTACTGCTGTGGGCTGGTAATTGATGTCATTTCTGTTCCACTTATTTACCGTCACTTTAAAAACAAGCCTAAGTGTCTAACCACATTCCAGGGCTGTAATGACATCCAAATGCTGTGATGGGCTGAGGAGTCAGCACCCGGGCCCAGCTGAAGATCTTGTGGGATTTGCAGCCACTAAACACGATCCTCCCCGGGCAGCAGAAGGGATAGGACACAAGGTGTTACTTCCCATCCTCAAAGTACGGAACACGGTTAAATTAGATGAGCTTAATTTGCTCTGTGACCTTTATATTGACTCCCAGACAAGGACTCTTGTTAGGCTTAACTTTATTGCATTTGCTCCAGATAAACTTCGTACTTTGATCTTCTACCAGCCAATTGTCAGACTGACAGGCAAGACCTCTCTTACAGGGCACAGCCAGGGGCTTTGGGGCCAACCAGCCATAGTTGAGTGTTTAAAGACTGATGCTAATGAAAACGACAGAGAGGGCCAACAGACAGTGGCCTGAGATGACTCACACTCTTCATCTTGTGTTAAAGGGCCGAAGTCAAATTTTCATCTTAAAAAGGGAGAAATGAACGGACATGCATCTCCCATGAGATATTTCAAAATGTCAGGGGGAAAACAATCTCTCATTCGGAAAAGAGGTATAGACGTACATGGAAGAGAAAATGGGTCTGGTAGGGACATAATAACGTGTTGTTTTCCCGAGCACCTTCTGTTCAGTTTCATTTAAAACTTTAATTCTTCTTGTGCACAGATCAGTGATCCCTGCACATTTTAGAGTATCCTCTGATGGGCTCTTGGCCTGCACTGATGTCCGTGTCTTCAAAACACGATAGCATTTTTCTCTGGGACATGCAGAAATGATGTTTCTAGTCTTGTTCACTGGGTTTATGTCACTGAGAGGTGGCTGCTGGTTAAGATAAGTAGCTTTCCCAGGCAGTTGTCAGTGCTATGCAGGTTAGGGAACCACTTTTCCTCTATGTGTGATCAGAGTTATCAGATCAGAGAATGCCATAGACCTGGAGGGCATGTCCCATCTGGGCTGTCTTTCTGAGATTAAATTTACCTTCTCCTGACTTAGTCTGTGTGGCTAGCAGAGCCGGTATCAGAAGCACGTGCCCAACTTTCTCCAGGTTTAGATGAATATACTCTCACACCCAGCTATCAACAGCAAGAAGGGTATTCTCAAGCTGGAGGTTTTCTTATAGTTCCAATTTGTGTGTGTGTGTGCGCGCGCGTGCGCGTGCACGCACGTGAGTGTGCATGAGCATGGACTGCCAGCATTTTGAGGGCACTTTAAAAAAATAGTAGTTATCTATTAAAGAGGACTATATTTTTAAAGTCCTCACTATCAACTCTGTGTCCAAATCTTCCTCTCTTATGAAACTAGCAGTTGGCATTATGTCTGACACACAGCAGGTGCTTAGTAAGTGTTTATTGAATACATGGGCATAACAGGACCAAATGTATAAGGAGTAATATTTAGATCCGAGTATTAATGATAGCTGGGAAGACACCAGTGCTGTGTATCTCTACTCTCCATCCACCTATCCCCTCTCTTCCACCCACAAGACGATGCTGAAAGTGCTATTATTAGAGTCCCTTCTGTAACTTTAAAGCTTTAAATACCAATTCAATATATAAATAGACTTAAGATAAGGAATCCTTTATGTTAGGAGCCATGTATAGCAGAGTATCCCCAAGATAAGAGTAAGAGAGCAAACTTTAATAGAGGAAAGAATGGACATAATGGAGGCTGAGTGAATCGTTAGCATTACCCAAGGAGTAGTTTGATTGTTGGGAGAGACGGAAAGTAGTACATCCCCCTTAACAACCTTGCCTAAAATTGGTAAGAAGAAATTAGGACCATTTTTACTTGTGAGCTGACGATGAGAATATTGCATCAATGTTAATAGCAAAGAGGTTATAATTACAAGGAAGGAAAATTATTTTTGTTACCTTTACCACCATCTGAGTTATTGGTGTTGAGAAGCCCCTCCACCCTGCTCACCTTCATGGGTGAGTTAGACTGGTTTAAGAGAGAAATGTCCAAAAAGGAACTAAAATCAGTCATTAGGAAAAAGGTTGGCCTCCTTTTCCCAATACGGAAGCTTTTCCCAATACAGAAGCTTTTCCCAATACGGAAGCTTTCTGAGTATTATAATTATGCAAGTTATTATACATGAATATTCTCATTCTTTAAAAGTCAAATGCAGCAGAAGTAATCAAGGAAGAAAGACACATATCCCCTTTTTACCACCATATAGTAGTTCCAGAACCTTCTTCTCCCCAGAGATAAACCACTATTAATGATTTAGTATATACCTTTCCAGACCTTTTTCTGTGAATTTATATACATATATGAACATGTATTTATATACATATATGTGAATTTATATACATATATGAACATGAACATCTATTTATATACATATATAGGTTTTCTTCCCATTGGAACATATTATGTATATTACTTGGAAACTTGATGTTTCACTTAATAATGTGTACTAAAAATCTCTGCCATCCTTGAGACCACCAAAATAAAATCCAGCAGATAAATTTCGATCTGTGTTCAGATACTGCTCTCTTATGATTAGCTACATACATGACCTTTAAGAGGCTATATACCTTTTTGAATCCTCAGATTCTTCATCTCTAAGATAGGCATAGTGGGAACTCAGAAAAATTCTCTTTTTCCTCTCTTTCCTTTCTTGGTGAGCAATACTTTTAGTTTGAAATAAAACATAATTTTTTGTATTTAGGACTTAAATTTGATTAGATTTTTCTCTCTTATTTAACTAAGTCTTATTAAGTTTTACTGATCATCTCCCTGGTTTATTCTAGCAATGACATGAACAGCCCAAAGAGAGCCAGAAAGCACTACCTTTAAAAAAAAAAAAAAAGAGCACGACTGTTATTAATTATAAGCATTTGATAGCTTGGCCAGTGTGTGTTGAAAAGATTTGGTAAACGTACGTGGAGGAGGGGAAAGAAATAAGCAATGAAAGCCAGATGGCTGAAAATGAAGGAAATTCCAGGCAATTTCTGCAGCTTTGTTCTAACATACTTTTTAAACTAAACTTTTATTTCTGTGCAACAGAGAACAGCTGAGTGGTGCAGAATAGATAAACAGTGAAGGGGGAAAAAAAGCCCGTAATTCCAGGAACAGGACTTGGTTTCTGCCCCTCGCCTCAACCTCAGTCTCTTTTCTCAGACCTAGGGTGGTACCTCGAACCAGCAAGAACTATAAAAGAAGTTTGAGAATCCCTATTTGAGACGAGAGAGTTAAGAAAAACGTCTTAAAGGTCACAGAGTCTCCTCTTTAAAAGCAAACTTCAGAATGCCTATTTTATTATACACTAACAAAATCCATGCGTACTAGCAGCAAATGATTTTCAATTTCTAATTTTCTTTTATATTGGCCTAAAATGGCTAGAGCAGAAGGTGT